TTATTGTTCATGTGCAATGTTTTCTTTAACTGCACGCTGTTATTTTTTGACTTGAGCCACGATATATATTACTCATCATAACAATCGCCTCTGTTTCTTTATCAATAGTGTCATATGTCGCAATAATTAAATTTCACCTTAAATAATATTCCAACTGCAATTACCAACTTTGTCTCCGAAACAATTAAAAACAAACAAAAAACACGATAATAATTGAAGTCGGTATCGCAGACATAATTATTATCACAGAATGGTTTATTTTCTTCGTAATTAAGTGCTTTTATGAATTCGACAGAATGGTGATACTTATGTCGAACATTTTATAAACTACGTTAATTGCTGTGATGATTGGAAAGTAGCGAGGCGACAGGGTCTGTCAGAAATTTTGCTGTTTTCAAGTATTTTTACTTGTACAGTAGTGAGTAATACAACATACGTCAACGAGAGGTGTTGTTATAGCTCGTCAGTAAATTTTTCGCAAGCGGTTAGCGCGTTCAGTCTGCGATCGTATAATTTAAACAACTTTCGTAATGGCTAGACATCGGATGTTAAACCCAAAAATAATTACTAGCTACTCCGTGCTTCGGAAGGCAAGTTAAGTCATTGGTCACGTCTGCATCTACAGTCTTTAGCAACCACCGAGTCATACTCGACTCGACACGCGTGGTGGCTCATGGCCTAATATCCTTACTCCATCTATAGGGACGGCCTGTTCCCCAACAGTGGGGGCATTAATAGGCTGAGGGGATGCTTATTACAATAAATCAATAAAGTCTTTTCCACTGGTTTCTACTGTCAGCACTCATTCATGCTACTCCGTGCTTCGGAAGGCAAGTTAAGTCATTGGTCACGTCTGCATCTACAGTCTTTAGCAACCACCGAGTCATACTCGACTCGACAAGCGTGGTGGCTCATGGCCTAATATCCTTACTCCATCTATAGGGACGGCCTGTTCCCCAACAGTGGGGGCATTAATAGGCTGAGGGGATGCTTATTACAATAAATCAATAAAGTCTTTTCCACTGGTTTCTACTGTCAGCACTCATTCACGAACATGACGTAACTAGCCAATGCTTCACACAATCACAATATTTTAGAAAACGTAACAAACCCGCCTCACACGTTATGACGCGGCTGATGATAAATTTCAATAAAACTCTAAATCGAGTTGTCAAATCACACGATGTTATAAATCAAACTAAATTACAAAATTTCCTATTATAAAATCAATGACTTTATTCTACTGAATTATTATTACTCATTGGTTACATGATTATTTTGACAGAATTAAAACCGCATTGACATTTGAACATTTCGAACGTCAGAATAGAATAAAAAGTTAGATATTTTATTTCTCTTTTTCTTTATGTAACTTATCATTACGAAGTCAAATATAATAAAACTAGCTGACTCGGCGAACTTCGTACCGCCCAAAAGTAATAATTTGCAATAAATTAAAATTGCGACCATAATTTGAGATTTAAACTATCCTATCTCTCAAGTTGGATCGAACTGCACATGGTGTGCGAATTTTATTATAATCGGTTCCGTGGTTTAGGAGTCCATTGAGGACAAACATTGTGACACGAGATTTATATATATTAAGATTAAAGATAAATTGAATATGGATGATATAAATTACAAAATGATCTGTGAGCGTAATAACTACAACAATAACATACAACCTTTTTATAAGATCTCGAATATTAATAACGAATGGGAAACTATTCTCGCATGAATTGAATGGAATCCATTACAAAACTGTGGGTCCTTTTTAATAATAAAAGCTCGTACCATAATTGTCAAAACTGACATGACAATGAACTGTTATACTTGCCTCACAGTAATTTAATCGCTAGATCTTTATCACTAATTCATTCGGTTGCACATTGTCAAAATCTTGGTGCGGGCACAATAGACCCTTCCGCTTCATTTGAGGGTTACATTCAAGTCACGGGCGCTGTTCAAACATTGCACTAGCGAATGTGAACAAAACGAAACCAGGTACGGCCATATTTACATAATCACTAAACACGTCAGTGAAGAGATTTCGACAACAATGCCCCGTGTTGAGGGGCAATATAACCCTCTAATTTGATGTGCGGGTCTATAATACCCCGGCATGCATAATTCATCCGTTGATAATATGTTAATTTACTTCACCTTATGTTTATGCTAATCGTAATTGGTTATTTCGCTGCACGGATTACATCGTGGCGTGGCATCAATCTTGTGTACGCATCTGTCAAAGGTAATCTCGCCGTAAGAGATCATTTGTATGAAGCTGCAGCGATATTTCAAGGCGGGCCCGTCTCGCACATTAATAAAACCTACATTATTATCTCAATTAATATCATAAGATTTATACTTTTTCTTCAACATTTAATGCATCTATTAATCACATAATCGCGTTAATACATTTAAAATGTAAATGGTAAAGTTTGTCGTTTTTTTCCAATGGAGAGTTGACATTTAGCTTTGTTCGCCTCGAGGTGTAATTATGTTGCGGTGAGAGCAGGTGTTAATTTCGAAAAAGTAGGAACTGTCAAACAGATGACAAAAATGTCATCGACGAAACGTGAAAGTTCTATTATTTCTTAATTTATTTAAAATTCTGCTATTAAATAACACTTGTTCACTCCATTTGTAAGGAGTAAAGGTGAAAGGAGAATAAAAAAATAATAATGCCACTTTTTTGCAGTTGTACACTTTCTTCCAATTTAAATTAACAAGTTAAATGATCAATCGTAAGGGTGAGTACTTTTGGAAATAGTGAATTAACTGTTTGACTTTATCAAACGATAGATATTAGATGAGCAAAATGCTGATATTTCGCGAGTAGAATTATAAAAACCCTAAGCTTTATTTAAAGGATCAATGAATTTGTTGTTAATTAATTTTACGTTAATAATGTCCGACTGCATAGCAAGCACTACACGCCTAAGAGAAGATGACATAGTTCGTAGTGTTTTCAACAGATGGCGCTAGATGTATCATTTCACAATGTTTCGCTTTCAATGAAAACTATGTCAAAGTCGTGTCGCAGTATATTTATAGTATGCTTAATAGTCGACTTTACGGCTAAAATAACGCATTAAAATAAATCAATCAGAATATAAATGGCGCTGTTATCATAAAATCATTGACACATTATTCAATAGCATTTGAATAGCTTATTTATTAAATATTATGAATAAGCTATTTAAAATTTATTTCAAATGTAATATGAGCGGTTGTTTTTTTATTGTTATTCAGATGCAAATAACCGTGAGCTATATTTGAATGACTTCCTAATTATCGTTGATTTACGTTCGTTTAAGCTGTAGAAATAGTTTCTACGAATGTATGACTCAGTGGATAATGGGTCGTTAGACAACAGAATTTAAAGCGTTATATTTTTAGAAATTGAATGTGTGCTACTTTTTATTTTGAATTTTATTGCATTAAAATTGCCAAAACTTTTTATTACCTTACTCTTGCAAAATATCATTCCAATGTGTTTGTTCTTTCCAGTTACTTCATAAGTACATATTTGTATATTTATGAACCACTGTCGTAATATTTACTTCATGTGAGTTAACAACACTGTCAAAACAGTATTATTTAATAAATAGATAGAATAGATATTTAGTGCCATCAAAAATTGCTTTTTTATTGTTGGCAGTTTGTGTGTTTTGAAAATATGTATATTATAATAAATTTGTTTCGTTGTTCCTGTGTCTACAAAATTATTAGGAATATTTCGATCAGACTATTCCTTTGCCTCTAATATTAGTCAATTGAGTTTCTTTGATAAAAATTACGACATTTCATTATAATCAATATATAAAATAATACTAGTAATTGCAAGAATGCAATTAATAAGATATGCCTGAAGACTATGAAATATTTAAAATTTGTAATGAAAGAACTCACCCTGACTACTTTATTTAGGTATACATAAATGTCTTCTTAATTATTTAGATGTTGATATTAAAATTCAGAACATAATGAAAAACGTAGTTGACTACTTAAATTTATTAAAATTCATTTCGATAAGCGTATATTTCATGCAAACAGAATACTTAATTATAGGTCGTTCATGTCATAATCAAAGATTTGAACGAACAACTTTTTATCCAACATTGAAATTTAATAGTAGCTCAAGAACGTTATTTATAAGGCAGAAAAGGCTTAAGCTCATTCGTATTCAAGGAGTTATGAATATGATAATAATGAAACGCTAATGAAAAACAAAATATGATTATCATTATGGTAAGAATAAACGCATATCCATATTACATAATATTGTTACTCAAGCCTAATAAAAATGAAAAATTAGACGTTCTTTTTCTAGCTCCTGTTTAATTTTTTACATTCGCTTTGCCAATTTTAAGACAGTTGAATTTCCACATGACATGTGCCTAATCAAAATAGCGTTTATCACAAAAAAAGTCCTGATTCCAACGCGCGGCTGACAGCTCGTCGGCTTCGTTATTAACGACTTAGGTATATTTTTTTCTTTTCCATTTGACTTTTCAATGAGTATTTCATTCGAGTGTGGGTGGTTGGTTTCTTCTTGTTTTATCACGCTTACATTTTGTTGATTGACATCTCTAATGTGTGTTAGAGGCAGATCAATCAATCACTCAGCTCGCTTTATTACGAGTTCGCGAGGAAACGGCGCGGCGTGGCGGAGCGGCGCGCCGGCCGGTTGACGTTGATAAATTTATTTTCTCTATTTGATTTCTAATTTCGTGTCGGACAATTTAACAGATTGTTAAATCACGATTCTTTAAATTGAATGATTTTGTATCTTTAGTATTTTTACATTTTAATGTGTTCAAAAATGTTTCAATTCTTACTACCTACTTGGTTACTTGACTAGTTTTCTGTTTAAACAGTTTAAGAAGGTTTTTTGAGATATCAAATAAAATCAACATATAATTATGATGTAGATATTATATTTGAAATAATTCATTTAATATTAAACATAGATATTATTATTTACACAAATCATTTGGCTGTACAGAGTCCTCACATATCTCAGACATAACTCGCGTAGAAGCAACTCCGTAGGCAAGTTCACTTACATAAATTATTCATACTTAGATTGCACTATCACTAAATTTGTCATGGGCAAGCAGCCGCATTTGATTTAGAGTCTATCAATATCACAGAAGAAAATTGGACAACACGACATTAAATTATGAATCAGTCCAAAAGTGTTCCAGATTTGCACTATTTAGTTTATTGGTGCACCGCAGCGGCCCCAAGCCTTTGACCATACATAGCGTAGGGTGAGTAGAAAGGGCCTAGAGCGGGGTTGAAGGCACCATAGGGCGAAGCTCCAATACCAGCCGGTAACGCAGCTTTTGAGTAAGGATGGTACCGGCTAGCCGAAAGTGGGCTAAGTGGTGCCGTCGGATAAGCACTTCTCAATCCAGCTGTGGTGAAAAGAGGATTCAGCGGATTCAACAAAGACGGCTGTGTTGAAGATACGGACGCAGGAGTCGTGCCATCTGTTGTATGACTCCTTAAATGTTGCAACAGCTCTTCGGAGTTTCCAAACCTTTTTCCACAGTAAGACTCCCCAACAATCCAATTGCACACGTAGGGGCGACTTAATTGCGGGTACGGCAGACCGCCGCCGGCGGCACCTTGCTGTGAAAGCGCCATTGCCATCGCTAAGTTGTACTTTTGATGTTCACATTGTGTGCAACCAGCGGGACACGATCCGTTGCTCATTAGCAAGTGGTGGTTATTCACTGAGAATTGACATCCTGTGCAGTAGGGGTCCTTGCAAACAGGCACTAATGTTTCACCACCAGCAGGTGTCTTAACTCTGGCGTAGCCGAGATAGGGATTTGGAGATGATCCTGGAAACCCTGCGGCAGCAGCGAGCATAGCTGCGTGATGAGCACTGAACGGAGCACCGGCGTAAGGAGGTCTGAATGCAGGATTACCATGTTGTTCCATACCAGGAGGACAGCAAAGACCGGTTAATGGATTAAATCCAGGAAGGCCAGGTAAATTTTTAAATGCACCAAGATGATCTTTTCCGTGACCCAAAACTTCTAATCCCGATCGGATAATCGGACTTGTTCCGGATGATCCCGTCGGCGAAGATTTTGCCTCAGTCGACGGACTATTTTTCCCATTTTCAGCTGACGGTGGCGTGGATTTACGCCCCGGTGTACTTTTTCCTGATTTCTTGTCATCGGAACTATCTGAACTAGCCTTCGAGGAAGGGCGGGTCTCCTCAGGTTTTTTAGAAACCACATTAGTTTCGTATGGTTTGAACGCAAGATGTTTATTGTCCGGGGTAGAACGAGGTTTGTCCGATTTACTCGCGCTATTCGGAGATGAACGACTAATAACATCACTATTAACACTTGTCACTTTCTTCTTGTCAATCGGTGGCAGCAGGGGTTTGGACGGAGTTGTATCCGCACCAATCTGGCTGCAGGTTTGCGCTAAAAGCGCAAGTGGGCTTTTCTTCGCATCCAACTGTAACAAAAAAGAAATGAAAATTAGTATAATTAAAAACAAAATGTAGTAAAATTAGTATAAATAAATACAAAATGAAGCTTTTTTTTATTCCTTCCTATTAAAAAAAAAATGTCTGTACTTACAGATGATGGAAGAGGTGCCAAATAATCAGGCTGGAGATATTGATTAGGATTAGTAGTCATCATTCCTCCGTCTTCCAGAACCACCATTTGGAGATAAATATTTACGATCACTTGTAAACTTCACAGAGTTGTCACGACACGCTTCTAGCAACACAACTATCTATGTCACGGATGCGCGGGTTACTGAACGAAACGTGTGCGTTCCGATAGGCGATCGAGGCGACTGTGCGAGACGAAACCCCACCAGCAGCGAGCTCGTCGTCTGCCCCTCACCCCGCGCGCGATCGACAAGGACAGAGCTACCCTGAGTCTTTGTTAGAGCGGGTGCGTTATATCTCTCCGCTGCAGCGAGTTGCTATAAAAAATAAAGCGGAAACGACACATAGCTGCATTGCGGTAGGGGAAAAAGGAAAGGCGGTATGGTCGGCAGCCGGGTGTGGATTGAGACGTGCGATGGTGTTGGTGGCTCGCCACCCATGACGGCTCGGCTTTGAGCGTGCCGCGAGCGTGACTGCGCGTCTACCTGGCCTGCACTCCAGGCTTTTTGTTTCACACTACACTTTATTACGTCTCTACAACGCACCTCCTTTCCCGTCATTGCACTTCACAGACATATACGAAACTACTCACACTTTACGAGCTTCCTCTCTTTGTTTTAGAACACAGTTCAAAGGGAGAAATTGATCTGTTCCAAAAGAACGCACCGTTTGATGTGTCAACGCTTGTTTTAGGAGCAGTTTCCAGCGATAGTATTTCAAGTTTATTGACAACGTTAAGTCCATAACGTTAATGTTAATCTGACACTAAAGCCTGTCAAACACGGGGCTCGTACAAACGGACCCTCCTCCGTAGCGATCAAATTAAATATGTCAATTTGGGAACCCATATCACCAGCTGCGAGCGATGGCGGCCCTTTAGAAATATTGCTTATTGTGTCCAAACAAAGATACTAAGTATAACGTATGGGCGGACGACGGAGGTCGTAAATAACGCCACGGGCTGTAATATATTTGACAGTACGCGGACATGCGAAACAAAAAACTTGTTTATTGCAAGATCTCGCTCGGTTGCCATTGCCAGTCTGGTTCGCGCCTGAATTTAGGGGAATTAAGCACTTTACAGCTTCTTTTTAAATATGAAATAATTATTTAACTTTTTAGACTCAAGTTATTTTACTACCAACTTGAAGTTTAGTTCAATCATTTTGTTAGTACATAGTTTGAAATACTATGCTTTTGTTAATTGTAACACTGTAATGTGCGGATTACAAAATGACATAATATTCTTGGCCTCAACGTTTTTTTTTCAAATTATTATCTTTATTACATAAAGTGGATTGAGCACGTCTTTTGCCATTTTAAAAATAGCATGCAAATACCATATGTATGTATAATAATATAATTATTTTGAGATTTTGCTTATTTGATAAACAAAATTGTGAAAAAAAGAAGAGATTCATTACTTATAACATTTTTCCATAGAATTATGAATGTCAAAGTTACCTAATATATATTATGTCACTAAAATATACAATGTCAACCTATTTTAATTTGCAAAATTTCTAAATTTCAGATAAAAAGATGAAAAAGATACATTTATCATAAAAATTGTATGATAAGTTAAAACATGTCATTAATTATTATACCTAATTGAAAAACTTTTTAGATAATAGAAATTGTTTCCATTTAGCCATTTATATAGTTTATTTTTAAACATGTTCATATTTAGGATTTTCATGTCGCATGGTATTTTATTACAGATCTCGACACAGAGGCACAAGCAACTTTTCCTATATTTGTCAGATCAGGTTTAGTATCAATATTTTCTTTAATAGGTCGTAAAAATATTATAAAGAAAAATCAAAAAGGCGTTTTACTAAGGTGTTTTAACAGGCGCAACACTGATTACGCCGGTTCCTATAAACATTAAGTTTATTATGAAGACAAGTATTTTAGGTCTTCCGGATAGGTAGACATCCCATTATCTCCTTATAAATAATGTGATCTGAGATAAAAAAAAACACATAAATAAAATTAAATCGCAAATTCATGTTCATAACCTACCTACTTTCTACAAACAAGATTGTCGATATCGTTGTAAATTATCATGTAAGCACTGTATCGGATGTGCGTCGTTAAAGAGCAATAATTTTCTCTGACCGCTACAACATTGTTTTAAAATTTCAGAACGACATTGCAAAGAATTCTTGGAACAAACAATGATATTATATGGTTATTCTGTGATAATTTTACATGTTGCCGCCTGATCGGTTTAAGCTAGGGACCAAATCCTTTGTAAAAAAAATAATGTACTCTTCTACATAATTGAATACGTAGTAAGTATGCTTCAGCTGTTCTCATCCCACAATCGCATAAACCTGACACAAAATCTGAAAACTCACAACACCGTGTCATCACGCATCAATGATCAAACGTACAACCTCCATTGTTAATCTCGAAAGTGGCATTTACGTCATTGTAATAGGAGCTGGTATAGAATGCTTATCCGGTTGACCATTAGGCTATGCTGTGGCATTACGAAAACCAATTTCCGAAGCCAATTAGACGCCGATAAAAGAATTTGTTCACGTGTAAACAACCACAATTATCTTTGGATGGAAAAAGTGCCCCGAGACGAATTAGTTTGGAACTCCTGACTTGGATACGTATTGTGTACAGCGGATGCGGTATGATCAAAAAGCATCAATGCTGTGGGCAACAGAGAAATAGACAATTTTTTGACAGTAAGCACTTTACTTTCCTTTGTACTTACTGTAGAAAAATATATCCGACAAAGAATTTTTAAGTCTTTTATTAACTTCATCTGTATATTTGTTTATATGTTTATTAACTTATACGTGTGTATAAATCTTTGTACGAGATTTCCTCCTACTTTTAGGGGATGCTTTCATCTTAATCGAATTAAAAATTGTACTTTTCACTGTCTTTCGTAAGGTGAAAAATACTCCTCCGCTGTCTCTCTTGATATCAAAAATCTTCTAATTTTAGTATGATTGGTTTGATTTTTTTAAGATATTTTAAGCAAAGCTATTTCTAAAAGATGACGCTGATTTATTTGGGGATAAATGAGGATCTATATCTTTAAAAAAAATATTTCCATAGGTACACAGTTTACATAATAAGATTTTCATTCGAATTACTTCTAAAAAAATAATCATTACGTTTTTGTTCAAGGAAACTTTCTAGATAGATTGCGGTTTCACATTATTGTGGTTAAAAAAATAAATATGTCTAGTGACAGATCCCACGGAGCGCATTTTGAAGTGTTTATGGCGCATTAACATCTATCTACTGGATATCTCAAATCCTCAAGCTTCTCCGGTGACAGTGTGTAATCACCGACTTGCACTAACACATTCTGACGGATGGTGATCTGAAACCACGAAGTTTCTAAAATAAAAGTTCCTTTGACTGATCTGAGTGGGCCCAAGATACCGCAGATGAGCAGGGTTAGAGAATACAAACCAAGTCACAACGAATCACGTTTTAATGAAGTAATTATTATATAATTGATGTGGAGATGATCTTGCTAATTTGATAATTATTAACTTAAATACTTTTTTATTTAAATGTCACACATGCTACAATTATGACTGATATCACCCCGATAACATTATATCTTTAGAGTTTTTCCTTATTTTTTGATATTTTTTTTTTGTTTGTTGTTCCATTAATTTTTGTTGAGGTTTGAGAAAGTTCCAATTTTATAAAATTAAAGAATCACGACAAGCAATATTAAAAGAGAGAATCTTTTGAGTGAAATAATTTCAATATGACACAATTCTAAGTTTGAGGTTTATTTATGAACCTAGAGTATATATAACAAAAAAGTTGACTGAAATTTCATTTTACCTTGCGTCAGGGGAAAACCCACCCTTTTGTCATTACTTTATGACGTTCCATTAAAAATTCGGCCATTTCGAACATTTACAATCAGACCCCCGGAGTTGACAGCCATCCATAAACACCCAGCGGCCCTAATTGCAGTATTTATTGGCACAGTAAACCCTTATCTGGGCTTTGGGACTATTTAGATAACGTTGACAATGCAACGTCTGTCTGTAACGATAGCATTATTGGACTAAGTTATCTTTATAGCTGACATTTTTAAAAGGAATTTGTAAGCGGTTAGAAATGAAGAGGTAGGTACGCAATGCAAAGGCTTCTTTACTTTAACTGAAATTGCATTGTCTGTCTGTAAGATTTACCAAATCAACAATGAATAATGTTATGATTATGATGTTACAGCTTATTAGGTATGCTCTAGGCATATTTTTCCGCATTTTATTTCGGAAAGTTTCTTGCAATTAGTTACAGCTTTATGCAAACCCAAAATCACTGATTCCGTTAGCTAACGTCTAATACCAAGGCAAGTTAAAATAAAGAAAGGCCTTATTTTAAATTTCAAAAGTAAAAGATTTGTACATAGGTCTGTTTTTTTTTATATTTTTAAACATTGCGTTACCATCCCTAGACAACAGCTAATTCAATTCAATTCAATTCAATTCAAATTGTTTATTACAGACAACAAAATGGTTCATTAAATCGTTAGTAACAATATTTAACTTAAATGCTATGTTAGTATATATTATTTTTAGGATTCAATCAATGTGTGTTTTTTTAAATTGAAATTGTATTATAATAAAATAAAAAGTAATCTAAACCAAATGTCAAACCAAAATGAATTTATGTAATTAATTAATATTCTACATTTAAAGTCATATAGTAGTAATAAAACAGTAAAATATGTAAGTTGTTGTGGCAGCATGTCAGAGTAACACACAGCGTAAATTCTTGTGCATTACCTGTTTTGAATTATTTGCAAAAATACCTACAACATATTGATGTTCACATAGATACATCTAAACATTTCTTAATTCCGAAAGAAAGAAAATCTTTTATCCTTGCAAAAGTTAGAATTAAACCACTTCCAAAATCTATCCTGCTAACTTAAGAACATCAAGAAATTAACACGTTTCACAAACAGTTGTCAAATCAGGGTGTTGTTACTAAACAAGCGAAGAAACTGTGTCCTTGTAAAAACCCGGTCGGTACGCTACTAATAAATTAAAGGTGAGGCAAAATAAATTTCCCCGGAGCCGTGTTAGTATTTATGGTCGTAATAAACGCAGGCAAGCTTTTGTGAACGCCGCTCGTTGTAAATAATTTCAATGTGAACGTTGTAATACTTGTTATTTTT